GCCGCTCCGGCAATGGACGCGGCGGGGATCCGCAAAACAGCCGGGATCCGCAAAAACAGCCGGGATCCGCAAAAACAGCCGGGATCCGCAAAAACAGCCGGGATCCGCAAAAACAGCCGGGATCCGCAAAAACAGCCGGGATCCGCAAAAACAGCCGGGATCCGCAAAAACAGCCGGGATCCGCAAAAACAGCCGGGATCCGCAAAAACAGCCGGGATCCGCAAAAACAGCCGGGATCCGCAAAAACAGCCGGGATCCGCAAAAACAGCCGGGATCCGCAAAAACAGCCGGGATCCGCAAAAACAGCCGGGATCCGCAAAAACAGCCGGGATCCGCAAAAACAGCCGGGATCCGCAAAAACAGCCGGGATCCGCAAAAACAGCCGGGATCCGCAAAAACAGCCGGGATCCGCAAAAACAGCCGGGATCCGCAAAAACAGCCGGGATCCGCAAAAACAGCCGGGATCCGCAAAAACAGCCGGGATCCGCAAAAACAGCCGGGATCCGCAAAAACAGCCGGGATCCGCAAAAACAGCCGGGATCCGCAAAAACAGCCGGGATCCGCAAAAACAGCCGGGATCCGCAAAAACAGCCGGGATCCGCAAAAACAGCCGGGATCCGCAAAAACAGCCGGGATCCGCAAAAACAGCCGGGATCCGCAAAAACAGCCGGGATCCGCAAAAACAGCCGGGATCCGCAAAAACAGCCGGGATCCGCAAAAACAGCCGGGATCCGCAAAAACAGCCGGGATCCGCAAAAACAGCCGGGATCCGCAAAAACAGCCGGGATCCGCAAAAACAGCCGGGATCCGCAAAAACAGCCGGGATCCGCAAAAACAGCCGGGATCCGCAAAAACAGCCGGGATCCGCAAAAACAGCCGGGATCCGCAAAAACAGCCGGGATCCGCAAAAACAGCCGGGATCCGCAAAAACAGCCGGGATCCGCAAAAACAGCCGGGATCCGCAAAAACAGCCGGGATCCGCAAAAACAGCCGGGATCCGCAAAAACAGCCGGGATCCGCAAAAACAGCCGGGATCCGCAAAAACAGCCGGGATCCGCAAAAACAGCCGGGATCCGCAAAAACAGCCGGGATCCGCAAAAACAGCCGGGATCCGCAAAAACAGCCGGGATCCGCAAAAACAGCCGGGATCCGCAAAAACAGCCGGGATCCGCAAAAACAGCCGGGATCCGCAAAAACAGCCGGGATCCGCAAAAACAGCCGGGATCCGCAAAAACAGCCGGGATCCGCAAAAACAGCCGGGATCCGCAAAAACACCGGGATCTGCGGATAAATACAGCCGGGATCCGCGAATTAATACAGCCAGGATCCACTGGTTACAGCAGGGATCTGTGAATAAACACAGCCAGGGATCTACTGCTAAATACAGCCAGGGATCTGGACACACAGCCAGGGATCCATAAATAAACATCAGCAGGGATCTGTGAATAAACACAGCGGGGGATCTACTAAATACAGCCAGGGATCTGGAAACACAGCCAGGGATCCATAAAGAAACACAGCCAGGGATCTACTGCTAAATACAGCCAGGGATCCATAAATAAACACAGCCAGGGATCTGCTGATAAATACAGCCAGGGATCTGGAAACACAGCCAGGGATCTGCTGATAAATACAGCCAGGGATCTGGAAATACAGCCAGGGATCCACCGATAAATACAGCAGGGATCTCTAATTAAACATAGCTGGGAATCTGCTGGTACAGCTGGGGATCCGTGAATAAATACAGTGGGGAATCTGCTGATAAATAGAGCTGGGGATCTGTACATAAATACAGAGGGGATCTGTACATAAATACAGTGGGGATCCAATGATAAATACAGAGGGGATCTGCCAATAAATACAGAGGGGATCCATGAGGCACGGACGGATGGAGGGATGAGGGAGGGATGGAGGGATGAGGGAGGGATGCAGGGATGCAGGATTGAGGGGCCTGGGCTGGGGGATCCCTCACTGCACCCAGCCCAGCTGTAATTGGGACACATCCCTCTGTTTTCCAGCTCCTGAGATGCCTCCAGCTACCATGAGGCTAAAGAAGGATAAAAAATTCCCCAAATACTGTATTTCGAAAGATGGAGTAAGCAAAACCGACCAGTCCCAGAACAATCCTTCATTTTCCTGTGCAGCAATCCGGTGAGGAATGTTCATGTAGCACAGGTGGATACACAATTTCCTTGTGCATCACAAGTTTCAAATGGCACAGAAAGAACAAAACAACCTTTCCTTGAGCTCTGTGTCCTCCAACAACAAAAGGGCCTCGTCCTACACATCCCCCCCAGGGCTGGGGATGTTTCTGCAGTCTGGGGTTTTTTTCAACTTATTTTGCAAATACAACCACACAAAAATAGCTTCTTTGCAAACGTATAAACAGGTTAAAATAGATCCCCACCACGCTGAGCTGCATCTGAGAGCGCTGCAGGAGTTCCTGAGCATCTCATGGTGAGCCCAGAATGCCCCAGGCAGAAATCCCCGTGCACACACAGAGCCCAGCTCGGGGTTTTTGGGGCTCAGGCTCACCCCACATCTCCAGCAGGGCTCTCTGCACCCTCAGAACCTTTCCCACAAGCAGGAGTGTTTCTCACCCTCCCACGGAACCAGAACCCCTCTTTAGGAAAGCAGATGGAGTGCAAGATGGAGCTGACAAACCCCAGCCCTGAAATGTGCCCCAACACTTTCACTCCCCACAGCAGAGGAAATGCAGCAGCAGAAACTCAGAGCCACCAGCAAAACACAGCCCAAAAATCCAAAAATGCCACTAGGGCATTTTTGTTAAAACCCTTTGCTAGGATTTTTCTCTTATTCTAGCTGAGAAGCTTCAGAAAAGAAATGTAAACAATAAGTATCTGATGGTTGTAGAAGGTAGTCTGGATTGTTTACCAACAGGTGCATCTTTGATTAATCTGAGTTGTTTCTTCTTAATAACCAGTCAAAGATCCAGTGTCAGACTCTGAGAGTCACGAGCTTTTGTTATCATTCCTTTCTATCCTCTGAACACAGCCATACTCCAACCAACCTCCCTTGGTTCCTCTCTCTGAACCTTCCCCACTCCAAAACAAAAAACAGGCCTGAGTTAGGAAAAGAAACCTGGCTGCAACCAAATGAAGAAAAGCTGACTTTGCAGAGCTGGCTAATTTGGGTAATTAGCTGATCACTAAGTGCTCTGCTCTGTCCTTTCATTGATCCTTTCAGGCTCAGTCATCCTCTAACAGCTGGAAGAATTAAAGTGGGTTTAAAACCCCACTGCCAGCAACAAAAATGCCATTTCCCAGGAGAGACCATCCCTTAGGCACCACTACCAACACTCCAAGCCCAAAGTGAAGCACAGTGACAAACACAGGGGTCAGGGAGGGTGCTGAACATTCCAGAGGGGCACCATGAAAACTTCACCATGAAAACCTCACCATGAAAACTTTATCAATTAAAACCTCATCCATGAAAAACCTCATCCATGAAAAACCTCATCCATGAAAAACCTCATCCATGAAAAACCTGATTCATAAACACCTTATCAATGAAAACCTCACCATGAAAACCTCATCCATGAAAAACCTCATCCATGAAAAGCCTCATCCATGAAAAACTTAGCAATTAAAACCTCATCATGGAAAACCTCACCATGAAAACCTCACCATGAAAAACCTCATCCATGAAAAACCTGATTCATAAATACCTTATCCATGAAAACCTCACCATAAAAAACCTCATCCATGAAAACCTGATTCATAAAAACCTTATCCATGAAAAACTTATCAATTAAAACCTCACCATGAAAACCTCCCCAGGCCTTGCCTCGTGGACAGCTCTAAAGAAGACACCAGTGGTGCTCCAGAAGCATTTGAGGGTATGGTGTTTGAATTTGGGGCATCCCCAGGGCTTCCCAGAGAAGGGGAAATGCCTGGGGGAGGAGTTGCAGCAGCCCAGCCCCATCCCAGCCACCAAGACAGACTGGGACACCCCAGAGAGGCAAGGAAGCCTCAAAACCAGGCAATTTCCTAACAAATACCACTCAGGGAGCTCCTCCTCACTGCAGGCACTTAGTGGCAATGCCCTCAAGCACAAAGATCCAGATCTGCTTCAGAAACAGTAAATCCAGCACAGAACAATTCAAGTATTTATTAGTTATGTTAACCCCCACTTCCAATGAGACTTTTCTCCAGGATATTTCTGGAAATCAAGGTGCACAGCTGATTGTGTCCAAAGAATCCTCAAGGCTGGCACTTGTGGGGCATTTTCTGTGCTAGAAAATCCCATAAATGCAGAAAGTGTCATGTTTGGACCCAGAAAACAACAAAGCCACAGCCTGGACTGAGCTTTCCAAACAGAGCTGGCCAAGGCTGGCTGAGGAAACCTTTCCAGGCAGACTGAAGAGCATGGACACTCCTTCCTCAAGTATGAACTGATCCCAAAAAATTCTTTCTGTACTTCCCATTTGTTCAGGGCCAGCAAAACATACACCAGGAATTCCTGATTAGGGACCCTGGACAGTTATTTACACATGAAAGCAGGAATTTCCACACTTAAAAACTTTCAATTTGATTTCTTAGAAGTGTCTAAATTTCAACTGAATACACAAATAATTTTTAGAGGTATTTTCAAGGGTGTACATTCAGCCAACAAGGCAGCCAAGAATTCCTGCTGAAGTTTGCAAGCTTTAAAAAACTTCCATAATTCCAAGAAGCTGTTTAGAAGCAGCACATTATTTACTCAGAGATGCACCTGGATATCAGGACTCACCGCAGAATTTTATTTTCTGTTTTTATTTCTCTCCTGTATAAACCCACACTCAGAAAGATGCAGCTTCTCCCTTGCATCCCTTCCAGCCCAGCCTCCTGCCAGCTGGATTTTAACCTTTCTTCCTTCCCCTGAGTAATTTTCAGAGAATTAAGGTTGGAACAGACCTCCATGATCATCAAGCCCAACCTTTGAGTGAGCACCAGCTCAGGTCAGTGGTGAAGTGGAGTTTAAAAGCCATTTTCACTTACCTGGTCTCTGGATTATAGCCCAGGATGTAGAAAAATGAATCCACTCGTGCCTTGAACTCTCTAGCAGCAAATATGTCAGAGAAATGGGAGATGTTGCACTTCCCTCTGGAAGGAAGAAAGAGGAGAAAATGGCATTAGAATTCTAGCTTGAGTAACAGCTCCTTTAATTAAGTGCCACTGCAATCTGGGGAGAAGCCACGGGCATCCCCACTCTCATAAATGTCCAGAACATCATAAATCCAAGGCTGTTTTAACAAAAATCCTTTAACAGCAGTGTGGGTTCTTGCCATGGTGGGAGGGGAAGGAGATGCAGTCACAGTGGCTCAGATGCTGCTCTGCAAACACTCCATAATTCCCCTCCAGCCAGCACAGTCCTGAGCAGCCCAAAAACCACCAGCCCGACAAAGAGCAGCTCCAAATGCAATCCTGACAGTGGGTGATGTGCAAAGCTCTTGCAGCCACATCCTCCAGAATTCCCAGCCCACGCTGCTGAGGCACGGAGCAGCAGCAGGTCTGAGAGGCTCCCACACACCTGAGTGCCAGCCTGGCTCTCCAGCACTGACTTCTCCCTGCTTCCCCAGAGACAGAAAACGAGCAGGGGGTTTGTCTGGGTATTTCACATTTCACAGGTATTCTAAGGAAAGAGGTTTAGCTTCCTTTCAATAATTCAGCTAATAAGCATTTTCCAGCTAAGCTGCAGTGTCTCTGTGGATGGCAGCAGCACCTCCTGTTCCCAGCACTCCAGACCAGGAGTTCTGCATTTCAGAGAGGTAAAAAGCACATCATGTTTATTACACACTTCCACAGAGATCTACAACTACCCTCCAGTTAAATTTTTCCACTGGTTAGAGCAGAATATTGCTAGTTACAATCACTGGTTTTTACTCCCCAGTTTGTCATCAATCCACTGCGTGTCCAGAGCCATTTGTTTGCAGAGGGCAGAGAAATAATCTCGTATTATAATAAATTAAAATCTCATGTTAACCTTTCATGCATCACCACACTCTGTGCCTCCCCCATGTTCTCTGCAAGAACACCGTGTGCAATTATCCTTCTGCTCATCCTGTGCACTCTGAGGTTATTTTTCAAGTTTGTTTGGCACACATGGATATTCCATTTTTATCTTTCCGTTCCTATCTTTTCTTTAAAGGGAAAAACAACGGAGAGGATGTAGCAGGGGAGTCAGAACAGCCCCAGGGAAACTGCAGCCACAGAGTTGAGTTTCTCTGAGCTTGAGCACATTTCCAGCCTGGCTCCTGAGGTAAAACTGGAAGGGGACTCAGCAGAGGCACTGTGGAATGCCCCCAGCACAGCCCTGGAATGCTCTGAGTTTGTAAGAAAGGTTCAATATGTAAATCAAAGACTTTCCCCCACCAGAACAGAAGCCAGTTTGTCTCGAAGTAAGTGGCTTCAGCAAAGTGACTCTGAACAAAACAAAGTCTCCAGATGGCTGTGGTGAAACACCATCTGAGCACCATTATCAGGGAGATTATTCAATTTGCATCCTGACAATATCCATGCATGTTTGGCATGCTGAAAATCAGCTGACAAATAACTCCTTGCTGCTGGGATCTGCAAACATCTCAAGTGAGGGTGTCTCCCTCAGCCTGCCCAGGGCAGCAGGGCAGAGGGCAGGGCACACACCTGGGCATCCCTGCTGGGCAGGCACATCTCCCCCAGCTCTGGGCTGAGCTCAGAGCACTCAGAACAAGCCTTTAATGCAGGTCACCCAGAGAGCCAGTGCTGCAGCAGTGCCGTGCCCTGAGCTGGCAGGGATGGCAAACTGCACCTGCTGGGCACCACTGCCCGCCTGGCACGGGCAGGAGCCTGCAGCTCCCTGCAGGGACAGGGCACATGGCACTGCAGGGACAGGGCACAGCTGGGCTGGGGTGGTGACCCAGGAACCTCTGGCCCCAGAGCCCCTGACACCTCTGTCCCCTGGCTGTCCCCCAGAGCCCCTGACACCTCTGTCCCCAGTCCCAGGCTGACCCCAGGCCATCCCCAGGCTGTCCCCAGCTGTCCCCAGGCTGTTCCCAGGCTGTCCCCCAGCCCCAGGCTGTCCCCAGGCTGTCCCAGGTGTCCCCAGGCTGTCCCCAGGCGTCCCAGGCTGACCCCAGGCCATCCCCAGGCTGTCCCCAGGTGTCCCAGGTATCCCCAGGCTGTCCCCAGGCTGTCCTAGGTGTCCCCAGGCTGTCCCCAGGCGTCCCAGGCTGACCCCAGGCTATCCCCAGGCTGTCCCCCAGCCCCAGGCTGTCCCCAGGTGTCCACAGCTGCCCCAGCTGTCCCCAGGCTGTCCCCCAGCCCCAGATGTCCCCAGGCTGCCCCAGGTGTCCCCAGGTGTCCCCACCTCAGGGCAGCAGCGTGGTAGGTGTCCACGTAGTCGGAGATGAAGAGCTCGCGGTTCTTGATCACGGGGTCAGTGATCACCAGCTCCCGGCCCGAGTCTGCAGAGACAAAGCCCAGGAGACAGCCCCAGGCTGCCCCCAGCCCCAGGCTGTCCCCAGGTGTCCACAGCTGCCCCAGCTGTCCCCAGGCTGTCCCCCAGCCCCAGATGTCCCCAGGCTGCCCCAGGTGTCCCCAGGTGTCCCCAGCTGTCCCCAGGCTGTCCCCAGGCGTCCCCACCTCAGGGCAGCAGCGTGGTAGGTGTCCACGTAGTCGGAGATGAAGAGCTCGCGGTTCTTGATCACGGGGTCAGTGATCACCAGCTCCCGGCCCGAGTCTGCAGAGACAAAGCCCAGGAGAGCCCTGACACAGCAGCTGGGCCACCACTGCCACCAGCAGCAGGGCACAGCCCCGGCTGCTGCCCGGGTCCCCCTGAGGTGTGCTCAGTCGGGGGCTGTGGGGATTCACGTGGAAGAACATCCCGTCCATCCTTATCCATCCATTCTCCCAGGACTTCTGAAGGGAAAAACCTTCTAAGGGCACGGGGTGACTCCTCTGGAGCACTGGGAGCAGCCACTCCCAGGGGAAGGAGCCAAGGAGGTGAGTCTGCTGCGTTTCCAGGATCAGGAACGGGCTCCTGTGCATATTTAATGGCAAATCTTCAACAAAACCTGACGGGGGTGACTGCACAGAGCTCTGGCTTTGAGGTAAATATTGACATCCGTGTTCAAACACAGAACATTCTGAGTGCTAACAAAAGAACTGGAAGACAACTTTTTCCATGACTTCTTTCTAACACCTTTGAGGAAGACACAAGAATACTTCTCCACACACAGGAGACTGCATTAAAAAGCAGCCATGCCATCAAAAATACTTTGTGACACTGTGCCTGTAATCTCATTGTTAGAAGCTTCAAATAAATTAGTAACAGGAATGTTGGATTTGTGGAGCTTTTGCTAAAAGCACACACAGAATGTCCTTTAAAAGGGGAACGTGTGCTCAACTTTGTTCTGCCAGGCACCAGAAAGTTGCTGCATTCTGTATTTCAATCCCCAACTTTTATCATCACGGTTCACCTTGGAGGATCTGCAGAATTTTTAACAGTTGCCTCAAGGAAATTTCCTGGTAAGAACAGAAGCAAATGTTATGTCTTCCCTGGAGGCAGGAGATAAATGACACTGGGATATGTACTAAAGTTTCTTCTGCTTCTATGAAACACAAGATCACACTTGTTTTTGCAAAGAGAAAAGGAGAAACTCAGCTCCAAGTGCTTCAGTTCCATCCCTCACTGCAATATTAATCACAGTGAATATTCACATGTGCAAGGGAGCACACTGAGAGACACAGCTCTCGTGGCACTGTGGCAGAGCCACAGAAACCAGAGGAGAGCCCCAATTTCTGCAGATAATTTGGTGCTCAGTTCATTATCAGCACAGTGTCCAGGAGGCCTGACAAGGATCTGGGGTTATTTTGCTTTTCTATCCCCTCTCAAGGAGATAATAATAGCAATAAATAAAAAATAAATAAGTAAATAAATAAATAAATAAATAAATAAAATTAGTAATGATAATAATGATAATAATAATAATAATAATAATAATAATAATAATAATAATAATAATAATAATAATAATAATAATGTTGTTATTCTTATTACTCCACTGTTACTAATATTGTTTCTGCTGTTGTTATTAATTATTATTACTAACACAGCCCAGCACCTGCAGCACACCTGGCATGTCCCTGATGTCCCTGATTCCAGGAGCAGGGCACACACCAGGGACAGCAGGCAGCAGAGACACCAGCAGGCCTCTCCTGCCACCACGTCCTGCTTCCACAGCCCTGCAGAAGTGTGCTGCTAGAACTGGGACTGGGCCTTGTTAAAGCTGGGACTGGCCAGGCTGGCCCCATTAAGCCAGGAGCAGGCCAGGCTGGCCCTGTTAAGCCAGGATCAGGCCAGGCTGGCCCTGTTAAAGCTGGGACTGGCCAGGCTGGCCCTGTTAAGGCCAGGATCGGGCCAGGCTGGCCCCATTAAGCCAGGACCAGGCCAGGCTGGCCCTGTTAAAGCCAGGATCAGACCAGGCTGCCCCGTTAAGCCAGGATCAGGCCAGGCTGGCCCTGTTGAGGCTGGGACTGGCCAGGCTGGCCCTGTTAAGGCCAGGATCGGGCCAGGCTGGCCCCATTAAGCCAGGACCAGGCCAGGCTGGCCCTGTTAAAGCCAGGACCAGGCCAGGCTGGCTCTGTTAAGCCAGGAGCAGACCAGGCTGGCCCCGTTAACCCAGAACCAGGCCAGGCTGGCTCTGTTACGCCAGGACCAGGGCAGGCTGGCCCCGTTAAGCCAGGATCAGGGCAGGCTGGCCCTGTTAAGGCCAGGATCAGGCCAGGATCAGGCCAGGCTGCCCCGTTAAGCCAGGATCAGGCCAGGCTGCCCCGTTAAGCCAGGATCAGGCCAGGCTGGCCCAGACCACTCACCGTTCTCGTTGTGCCTGTCCTGCACCAGGTGCTGGTACACCGAGTCGGGCACCTCGGACTGGCGGTAGTACCACTTGACGTTCATCAGCAGATGGTCCCTCTTGCTCTGAAAAACAACCCCGGGCTGTTACTGACAGGGAAATCAGCCAAACCCCACAGCCCTCCCAGGCCAGGCTGGCTCTGTTACGCCAGGACCAGGGCAGGCTGGCCCCGTTAAGCCAGGATCAGGGCAGGCTGGCCCTGTTAAGCCAGGATCAGGCCAGGCTGGCCCTGTTAAGCCAGGATCAGGCCAGGCTGGCCCCATTAAACCAGGAGCAGACCAGGCTGGCCCAGACCACTCACCGTTCTCGTTGTGCCTGTCCTGCACCAGGTGCTGGTACACTGAGTCGGGCACCTCGGACTGGCGGTAGTACCACTTGACGTTCATCAGCAGATGGTCCCTCTTGCTCTGAAAAACAACCCCGGGCTGTTACTGACAGGGAAATCAGCCAAACCCCACAGCCCTCGCTGGGAAAACCCCAGGCCAGACCCAGAGGGAGGAATTTCTCCAGCCTGTGCTGGTGACAGGTTGATTTCCAGCCCAGACACAGGCAGGGAGATCCTCCTGCACCAGTTGTGTCTCTCTGCATCTGACCAGCAAACCCCAATCTACTCACTGGTGTTAATTAACTCAGGGAAAGAGGAGGGAGCAGAAAAGGATTGCAATTTTTGGCCTCATGCAGTCTGCTGATTTCCCCAAATAAGAAGTATTTATGGCCAAACATGCAAAAAGGAATAGCCACAGTAACACCATTCAGTGCAAGCACTCTTAGCAGTGGAAACCAAGAGATAATAGATTTTTTTCCCCCAAGGACAGATGGATCCAGACATAATCATAGATGTTCTTTATTACACAAAAGAATATGATACTGCACTTCAATCACAATAATTACAGGCTCTGACTGCTCACCAACCTCACAGCAAAATTTACACAAAACTGTCTTCCCCAAATGCTCTTTTTTCATTGAGGCTCCAGCCACCAATTTGCTCCTTCTTAGAAGGAAACTGAAGCACAAACACCACTGAAATAAAGAGAACTTTTGGATCAAGTCCCTACAGATTCTATCTCCAAATGCCTGGTGTGCAATTCTGCTGCTCCAAAGCAGAGAGGAAACAAAGCCTGAAGGGACAGAGCATTGCTCTGCCATGACACAAGTGCAGCTGGTTTTGCCCGGGGCTGCACTCCCCGGAGCGGGCGGGGAGAGCCCCCCCGGGCTCCAGTGCAGCTCTCCTGCTGCAAAGCAGCAGCCAAAGCTTCCCGGGAACGGCACCTGCCGAGCACAGCCCCTGCAATACCGGCACAGCACTGCCAGCGGCAGCATTGTGCCAGGAAAGCTGGGGCCGGGCCCGGAGCATCCCCGTCCTGTCCCCACAAAGCCACCCCCACACCCCCATCCTGTCCCCACACCCCCTGAGCACCCCGGGCTGAGGCTCCTTTTCCACACCACATCTGCAGTCGGAGCCGAGGAGCTGGAAATGCAGGGAAACCCAAGGGACAGAGAGTGAGGGGTGGCTCTGGTTTCTGCTGCTCACAAACTGGGCTGCTCTGCTGAAATAATGCTCTGTGCACCACAGCTTTTATGGGCAGTCCCTCTGAATTCTGGAGACAAAAAAGCCCGAGTAAATAATCTGTTACCCTCCGCTAAGAGTTCATAAATCCTCTCAGAGCAGCTCGCGGCAATGATGGCAAACATCAACCCAGCATCTCCCTGCAAATTCTCTTTGTGTTCCTCAGCTGAGAGCACAAAACCCCACTCTTTTGTTACACACACCCTGGGAGGATGCTCAGAGAGCTTCCCTGGCACCAAGCCCGCTCACACGCACGAGGACAGCTCCCAACAAGCACCAACGCTGGTTTTTGTGCCTCTGGAGCCTTTCAAAGAGCAGAACTCCACGGAGCCCTGCACAGGAGGCACAGCCTGGAGCTTGGGCTGCTGGTTTGGAATAGCAAATGACACCAGGACTGGAAATGTGCACTGGGCTCTGCCAGGGAGGGGCTGCCAGGGCTTCCCTACAAACCCAGAATCACCCCAGGTGTGCAGAAGCACCCACAAACCCAGCTTCCCTACAAACCCAGAATCACCCCAGGTGTGCAGAAGCACCCACAAACCCAGCTTCCCTACAAACCCAGAATCACCCCAGGTGTGCAGAAGCACCCACAAACCCAGCTTCCCTACAAACCCAGAATCACCCCAGGTGTGCAGAAGCACCCACAGAAAAGGGCAGAGCTCAGAAAAGAGGGAGCTGCTGCACCTGGGAGAGGAGGGAGGCAGGGAATGGGAAGGGATGGGTGGCTGTGTGTCCTTCCAGACACCCTGCTGGGAGGGGACAGCTTTGCAGGGGGAACTGGGGGGGCCCAAATTCATCCTTGACATCTGCAGGGAATCCCACAAAAAGCAGGGATGGCACTGCCAGTGTCCCTCTGCCCCGGCACCACACCAAGCCCCAGGCTGAGGGGACACGGTGATGCCACCACTCCTGTCACAGCACAGGGGACAAGGCCAGGGGCAGCACTCACACCCATCATTGTGGAGAGAAGAAATCCGTGGTTCAAGGTGAGGTTTTCCCCCTGCTGCCATCAGGGAGCACCTCACTGTGTCCCCAGAGCCCCTCTGGGTCCTTCAGGCAAGGCAAAAAGAAGATTTTGCTGGTTGCCCCAGCTGAACCAGGCAGTGTGCACCAACAGCTGAGCAGCAGGGACTGCACGAGGGCAATACTCAGGAATATTCACAGAGAGCACAAAGTGTTCATCACTCACAAGTGGCACTTGTGATGGCACTGACAGGGCACACTGCAAAGCAAAGCAGGTTGCAGGGGTTCCCCAACACCCAGAAATGGCTTTTCTTTCACCCAGAAAACAGCAATAATGTGTCTTTTAAAGCTATGGAGAAAACAAGTTAAGAGTTATAACCCAAGCAGGCGATAAAACCAAAACACCACCAACCCACACGTGCTGCCTTTCTCAGAGGAGCCAAGGTCTGCCCCCACCTCCCAGCACCTAAATCCTACCTGAGAGGCATTCTAAGTGATTCAGAAATGAGGAGATAAACGGGGCCAAGGTGAAGACCAGAACAATTCTCAGACTCTGACAGTGCTGCTGACAGTGCCCATTTGGAGCATGGAATGGCTCTGTGCCTCCTCACAGGCAAAGCAGCAACAAAAACATCATTTACAGTGGGATGTGCAAGGAACCCTTCCCAGCAAAGTCTGGCAAGGATGCACTTGGGGTTGGGTTGGCTGGGCTGTGGGTTCTGGGTTTCTTTGGGGGTGTTTTTTTGGGGGAAGATGAGCTGATCTCCTCCCTAAATACCTTTTTTTACCACCACTGGCCATTTTTGTCCAATTCCTTTAACAGCTGCACCCTGACAGCCCCTCTTCTGTGCCCACTCTCCAGCAAAGATGATTTTGTGGGGTTTAACCTGAAGCTTCAATCTTGCTAAAAATACAACACGTCTGTCAGAGTCTCCCTTTTCACATTTCCATCCCTCATGGCACAGGAATTCCTAGACATGCTATTTTGTCAGCCAACTTCCTAAATACGTATGTCATTTATAAAGCAGACTGCACTCAGAGGTGTCAAGGCACCAACTTCTGTGGCAGACTATTTATTTTCAAACCATGTGCACACAAAAGAAGTGTCCCTTACCTCCTAAAAGTGTGACTATTTTTTTTTTTTCCCTTTTTTACACCTTTACATCTGAAAAGCTGCAGACACATGCCAAATCCAGGCTTGCAGAAACTGCAGCCATGGCAAGAGCTTTAAATTTCAAGTGTCTTTCTGTCAGCTCAAAATTATTCCCTGTGCTGCAAAACCACATTCTCCCCTTTAATGAAAATATTGTCTTTTGCTGCAGCGCTCACAAAGTGCTCATTTGGGGGTTTTATTCTCGCTGACATTTTGGGTTTTGTTCCTTTTAAACAGCATGAATCAGTTTTGGACATTGAACAAGAATTAGATGGGATCTGTAAATGGATTAAAGCTTCTCAGTTCACAAGCATCTGGTCCACTTCTATTTAAAATGAGCCTCTGCCTTGAAGGGAAAAAAAAAAAAATAATGCTGCAAGTTGTCTTTAAAAAGCAGGAATGTCCTGATTTCCACAGCATTTGTGACAATTCCAAGGTGCCTGCTTTCCCTGGACAGCCCAGAGCAGAGATGGGTGAGAACCCAAAGCAGCAGAGATGTCCTGCAGCCCCTGCCAGGGGATTTCACCAGAGCACTGCACCCCCTGCCCTGTTTAGATCCACCTTCAGCCACGGGCAGCTTTGGGGGGCGCGTGCCAAAGGCTGGAGGTGACAGATGGGCACTAGCAGCAATTCCAGAGACACAAACAGGGACAAGGGACAGAGCATCCTCCCTTCCCAAGCTGTCTGCCACCACGGAACCTCACTGCTGCACAACTGCTCTTACTCCCACTTCTGACATCTACTAACAGCCAAAGGAGAGAAAAGGAAAAATATATCAAGAGAGAAAAGGAAAAATATATAAAGAGAGAAAAGGAAAAATAAATATATAAAGAGAGAAAAGGAAAAATAAATATATAAAGAGAGAAAAGGTAAAATATATAAAGAGAGAAATGGAAAAATAAATATATAAAGAGAGAAAAGGAAAAATATATAAAGAGAGAAAAGGAAAAATATATAAAGAGAGAAAAGGAAAAATATATATATAAAGAGAGAAAAGGAAAAATAAATATATAAAGAGAGAAAAGGAAAAATATATAAAGAGAGAAAAGGAAAAATAAATATATAAAGAGAGAAAAGGAAAAATAAATATATAAAGAGAGAAAAGGAAAAATATATAAAGAGAGAAAAGGGAAAATAAATATATAAAGAGAGAAAAGGAAAAATAAATATATAAAGAGAGAAAAGGAAAAATATATAAAGAGAAAAAAGGAAAAATATATAAAGAGAGAAAAGGAAAAATATATAAAGAGAGAAAAGGAAAAATATATAAAGACCACTCAGATTCACTGTGGGAAAAAAAAAAAAAAAAAAAAAAACCAGGGGGGGGCACAAAAGAAACCACCCGGGGAAAAAAAAAAAGCAGCAGAGGGGGGACACAAATGAACCCATCTGGGAATCAGGAGCTAAAGAGACACAGCAAGGATTATTTCTCCTCCCTCTCCACAGCAGCACGTGTAATTTCACGTTCTCAGGGTATCTTTTTGTAGGCTGTTTGCTAATTAATTAAGAAAACTGATCAGCTGTTTGTAAGCCAAGCAAACCCAGCCTGGAAATGCAGAGGTTATTACTACAAATGAATGTTATTTTTGCAGCTTGATTATTTAATTCAGACGCCTGCATAGCAACACATAATTACTCCTTGCAAACAGAGCAGCATTGTCAGCGTTCAGCAAGAAACACAAATGTGAAATAAAAGCAATGATGTGGCCACATGCAGAATAACC